ATTGGGGATCATATGACCTTATGCAGTTGCAAGCGCCGTGCGTCGTAAAACCTCTACTTAATATATATATAAATATTATGTAACATTCTCTATCTCTTCATCTATGTACATTCAATTCTACTCCTTCCTAATCTGTCCATCGCCTTGCCTCAGAGCCACAATACAATCATGATTGAAATCTCCGGTCACTCTCTACGTCATCAAACAGGTCAGCACGCCCTCCAACCGCCCAGCGTGGTAGTCAGTAACTTGTGTTGGTCAGACACCACTGTATATATCAGTAGATAGATGGTCAAACAACAACAACAACAACAACAACAACAACAACAACAACAACAACAACAACACTCTATATATCCAAAGATTCGTACCGGAAGTGAACCATAACAACAGAACGTTCTTACCAAGCAAACATTGTCTTCAAAGACAATAAAGAAGTTATGATCAAAATAACATTCACAAAAACATTGACCGGGGATGTTTAGAAAGAGTTTTGTTTTCTCGGTCTCAATTTGTCAGTTATTTTGGCTCTCCTGTTAAAAAAAAAAAACACCAAAAAACTGGCATACTGTGTTTTTCAAAATAACCGTCAGATTTGTCAGTGTAACCCAAATGTACCAACAAGGATCAATAAAGTGTAATTTATTATTTACCAGTTGTCCAATTAGTTTCCTCAACGGCGTGTGACCAGGTGCAAAAACATGACGTCACCTCAGGTAATCAGCTGTAGGTTATCGCGAACTAAGAACACCGTGAAGTAATCAAGTGTGGGCGTCTCCAAACAAAACAGTTCTTAAAGGAGAGACGCCGTGAAGTAATCAAGTGTGGGCGTCTCCAAACAAAACAGTTCTTAAAGGAGAGACGCCGTGAAGTAATCAAGTGTGGGCGTCTCCAAACAAAACAGTTATTAAAGGAGAGACGCCGGGCGGGAACCTCTTTTCTCAAACACTCAACAATGTTCGTTTGTTTGGTCACTGCTACTTCAGCGTCTGTTCTTGTATGACAGATACAACTTATATGACCTTTGACCTACAGAACGTATATGACAGATAGGACTTATATGACCTTTGACCTACAGAACTTATATGACAGGTACAACTTATATGACAGATACAACTTATAAGACCTACATAACATACAATATGACCTGTCTGTGTTACAAGAGCCATGAAACTCTTACTAAAACTACAACAAATTAACCCAACAAGTTCCGTTTGTTTGTTGGCAGGTATTCCAGCCTCTGCCATC